CTCTTCCAACTCTATGATTCTATGATTCTATGATTCTATGATCTGTGTATGCTCCATTACCCAAACACCATTACCAGCTGAAGCAGCTATTAGGGATTTAGAGTTAGCACGACATTGATCCAAGGCCTGCAGTGTCCCCCTAGCATGCTTTGTTGTTATTGTTGTTGTGTGCCTTCAAGTTGTGTCTGACTTATGGTAACCCTATCATGTGGTTTTCTTGGCAAATTTCTTCAGACTGGTTTTCCATTGCCATGCCCTGAGGCTGAGTGAGTGTGACTTGCCTATGGTCACCCAGCAGGTTTACATGGCTAAGCCAGGATTCAAACATTGATCTCCAGAGTCATAGTCCAATGTTCAAACCACTACACCACACTGGCATGCTAAGTGTATCCACTTACACACTGGCATGCTAAGTGTAACCACTCAGTGGTTGTATGTCATGGGGGACACTGATACAACCAACTATTTTCTGCTGTGGCTGCCATCCTCTCCTTTTTGGTATTTTAACAGCATACTCCTGAATGTATGAATTTGAATTAGATCCCACTTTTCTTTCATGTTTGGAAGGCAATGTGGCTTAAAGCATGGATTAAAACCATTTGAAAACATCACAACACATAAGCAGTAAAATATTTAAAGAATTAAAATCCTCTCCTGTAGATTCACCAGTAGGTCACGTTATATTCAACAAAACTAAGGGCCTGAACAGACTGCCAGAAATAATGCAGTTTGAGACCACTTTAACTGTCCTGGCTCAGTGCTAGGGAATCATAGGAAATGTAGTTTTTTTCTGAGACATTGAGCCTTCCCTTTCAGAGAGCTCTGGTGCCACAATAAACTACAGTTCCCATGATACCCTAGCACTGAGCCAGGACAGTTAAAGTGGTCTCAAGCTGGATTAGTTCAGGCCCTTACTCTCAGATAAATGGATAACAGTGCAGTCCTAGGAATTACTACTGAGATATGAGTCCCATACAGTTCAATGGAGGGACCTATCCACAGCTAGACATGTACAAGACTATGGGGAGATGCAGACCGGCACTTTAGGCTGGCCTGGGGTGGAGTTGGGGTGGGGCGACCGCATGCCCGCTGTCCCAACTCCACCCCAATGCTGTGCACCCAACGTGTGTAAACACGTTGCGCCAAAGGGGTGCAAGAGAGCTGCTACGGTGGCAGCTCTAAGGGCGGATTTTTGCCACCCCAAAAAGGAGTGCCATTTGCCCGCTCTTTGGGGGGCGGCAAAAAGGAAGATTGGAGCCATGGTGTGTGGTTGCTGCGGCCCTGATCTGCCGCTCCCAAGGGCGGCACAGAGCCGACCTATATGTGCTGTCTGCATCGGCCCTATGACCTCATAGGCTGGTCCTAAAATAAGGCTGAGACATTAGGGAACAAAGGTTGATGGGCACAGAACAGATACAAAGGGGGGGGGTTGCAGACTGCCAGAAATAGTGCAAATTGAGGGGGGTTG